CATAAAAATGACACCACTGACCCCTAACAGTGCCCTAAGAGATAAACATGATCACCATCCTGTTTCACAAATGAGGGGCTGGAGCTCACAGATATCACCTTATGGTTGTCATCCTCCAGCGACTTCCCAGCACCCAGGGCTAGCAAGCTGTGGCACGGGGCTGCCAGACACCAGAGCCAGGCCCACATCACTGCACTGGGCTTCAGGGTTCTGTTCCACACACTGGGGTTCTAGATTGTTTGAGTTTGTTACAAACAAAGACATGTATCTTTCTCACTAGAAAATAAAGATTTAGGCTGGGAGTGGTGGCTCACGCCTGTAATCCCAGCAATTTGGGAGGCAGAGGCAGGTGGATCACCTGAAGTTGGGAGTTCGAGACCAGCCTGGCCAACATGGTGAAACCCCGTCTCTACTAAAAATACAAAATCAGCTGGACATGGCGGCACACGTCTGTAATTCCAGCTACTCAGTAGGCTGAGGCAGGAGAATTGCTGGAACTCATGAGGCAAAGGTTGCAGTAGGCCAAGATCGTGCCATTGCACTCCAGCCTGGGCAACAGAGAGAGACCCTGTCTGAAGATAAATAAATAAATAAACAAATAAATAAATAATAAAGATTTAATAGGAGAAAAAAAGATTTAAGGCTAGGATACCCTTAGCCTGGCACGATGGTATGGGAGCAGTTGGGCCCATAAGAACTGCTGGTTTAATTCTTTTTCATGCATTAGCAGGGGTGTGAAAAACTTCCATTTCATATTGAATTGGGCTCTGTTTATGTTCCCTCTGAAATATTGGATTCTTAATTATTTGCACAACAGCTTGAAGAAGAACAGGTTCTTTCTTGCACCCTGGCATAAAAATCTCTTTGTCAGATGGGCACAGTGGGTCACACCTGTAATGCCAGCACTTTGGGAGGCCAAGTCAGGCTGATCACCTGAGGTTGGGAGTTAGAGACCATCCTGGCCAACATGGTGAAACCCTATCTCTATTAAAAATACAAAAATTAAGGCCGGGCGCGGTGGCTCAAGCTTGTAATCCCAGCACTTTGGGAGGCCGAGGCGGGTGGATCACGAGGTCGAGAGATCGAGACCATCCTGGTCAACATGGTGAAACCCCGTCTCTACTAAAAATACAAAAAATTAGCTGGGCATGGTGGCGCGTGCCTGTAATCCCAGCTACTCAGGAGGCTGAGGCAGGAGAATTGCCTGAACCCAGGAGGCGGAGGTTGCAGTGAGCCGAGATCGCGCCATTGCACTCCAGCCTGGGTATCAAGAGCGAAACTCCGTCTCAAAAAAAAAAAAAAAAAAAAAAACAAAATTAGCTGGGCGTGGTGGCAAGCGCCTGTAGTCCCAGCTACACGGGAGGCTGAGTCAGGAGAATCACTTTAACACGGGAGACGGAGGTTACAGTGAGCTGAGATCATGCCATTGCACTCCAGACTGGTGACAGAGCAAGACTTTGTCTCAAAAAAAAAAAATGTATATATGTGTGTGTATATATATATATATATATATATATATATATATATATGTATAATTAGTCAGCCATGGGGGCACATGCTTATAATCCCAGCTACTCAGGAGGCTGAGTCAGGAGAATCACTTCAACACGTGAGGCGGAGGTTACAGTGAGCTGAGATCATGCCATTGCACTCCAGCCTGGTGACAGAGCAAGACTCTGTCTCAAAAAAAAAAAAAAAAAAAAAAAAATATATATATATATATATATATATATATATGTGTGTGTGTGTGTGTGTGTGTGTGTATATATATATATATGTATATATATAAAATGGTCATATCATCTTGCCCACAAAAAGTATCAAATTGTAAAATATTTGAAGAGATTTATTCTGAGTCAAATATAGTGACCAGAAGGCCCCAGGAGATCCCGAGAACACGTGCCCAAGAGAGCTGGGCTACAGCCTGGTTTTATACATTAGGAAGACACAAAGTACCAGTCAGTGCATGTAAGATATACACTCGTGCAGTCTGGAAAGGTAGGACAACTGGTGGGGGGTAGATGGGATGGGGTTTTTTTGGGGATTTGGCTTTTGGGTCACAGGAGGACTCAAAGATTTTCTGATTGGCAATTGGTTGAAGGAGTTATTATCTAAAGACCTGAAGTCAATAGAAAGGAACGTCTGGGTTATGATAAGGGGTTAGGCTTCAGAGAGAATAGCTGGTAAATGTTTCTCATCAAACTTAAAGGGTCTGTCCCAACAGTCTTAAGTTCTGCACTGATGTCAGTGCTGGTCAGCTAGGCCTGAATTTCAACAGGGAAGAGGGGACATAATGAGGCATGTGAAACTGCTCCTTCCCATCATGGCCTGAACTCGTTTTTCAGGTTAGCTTTGGAATGTCCTTAGCCTAGAGGAGTGGTCCATTCAGATGGTTGGGAGGCTTAGAAGTTTTATTTTTGTTTTTGTGTACAGTCTCCAATATATATATATATTTTTAAAGAGATAGGAGTCTCGCTATGTTGCCCAGGTTGGTCTCAAACTCCTGGCCTCAAATGATGCTCTTGCCTCATCCTGCCAAAGCACTGGGATCACTGGTATGAGCCACTGTGCCTGGGCCCCAGCATCACTTACTAATTTTTTTTTTTTTTTTGAGATGGAGTCTCACTCTATTGCCAGGCTGGAATGCAGTGGCGCCATCTTGGCTCACTGCAACCTCCACCTCCCGGGTTCAAGTGATTCTCTGGCCTCAGCCTCCCGAGTAGCTGGGACTACAGGCATGCGCCACCACGCCCCAGCTAATTTTTATATTTTTAGTAAAGATGGGATTTCACTATGTTGGCCAGGATGGTCTTGATCTCTTGACCTTGTGATCTGCCCACCTTGGCCTCCCAAAGTGCTGGGATTACAGGCATGAGCCACCGTGCCTGGCCCACTTACTAATCTTTGTAAAGATGGGGGAGTTGTACTTAGCAGACCCAGAGGCCTAGCCTGGCCTGCACTGTAGGTAAGAGCGATTCAGTGCCACGGCTCAGGGTTCCAGGCCTGGCCTTGCCATTTTCCAGCCATGTGACCTTGCATCAGTCACTCTGCCTTGACAAACTTCTCTTTTCCTCATTTTAATTTTTTAATTTTTTGGGTTTCTTTTTTGAGACAGAGTCTCCCTGTGTTGCCAGGCTGGAGTGCGGTGGCACAATCTCGGCTCACTTCAACTTCCACCTCCTGGGTTCAAGCAATTCGCCTGCCTCAGCCTCTCCAGTAGCTGGGATTACAGGTACACGCCACCAGGTCTAGCTATTTATTTTATTTTTCACAGAGACAGGGTTTCACCATTTTGGCTAGGACGATCTCGATCTTCCAACCTCGCGATCCATTCCCCGCCCCTACCGGCCTCCCAAAGTGCTGGGACTGCAGGCATGAGCCACTGCGTTTTTAGGTTTCTTTTAAGAGACAGGGTCTCCCTCTGTGGCCCAGGCTGGAATGCAGTGGTGTGATCATAGCTCACTGCAGCCTCAACTTCCTGGGCTCAAGGAATCTTCCTGTCTCAGCCTCCTGAGTAGCCGGGACTACAGGTGTGCACCACACCCAGCTAATTTAAAAACTGTTTGTAGATGGGTCTCACTATGTTGCCCAGGCTGGTCTCAAACTCCCGGCCTCAAGCGGTCCTCCTGCTGTGGCATCCCAAAGTATTGCAATTACAGACCTGAGCCACTGTGCCCAGCCCTATTTCCCCACCTTTAAAATGGGGCTAACGGTATTTGGTTGGAGAGTTGGTTAGGAGATTAAAACGGAAAACACAGGGTCTGGTGCACGAGGAACGCTTTGTAAGCATGAAATACCACGTTCTCTTTTTCAGTGTCCACTGACGGGACGCTCCCATTTCAAGTCTCCCGAGGTGACCTGCACCTCGAGCTGGGAAAATACACTCTATGTGTGTTTGAGGTGCACACGGCCGGCATGGAAGGCGCGTCCAGGGACAGGAGATTAGGTGGTGAGCTTTCAGCCTCCTTGGGGCTGGCAGAGGGATTAAGTGTTTCCATAAATACATGGCCTCCTCCCTCCACAGGACCTGGTCCCGAGCAGTGGGGGCGCAGAACCCAAGGAGGGCGTGGCCTGCACAGGTGAGGTGCTTTTTGGCGTGAACCCAGCCCAGAACAGGGGCCTCCTCCTACTTTGTGTGGGTGGGATCTAGGCAGGAAACGCCAGCAGCTGTGATTCAGGGTATGCCTCTCTGAGTCTCAGTTTCCCCATCATTGAGGCGTTCGTTTCCCAAGGCCTGCACTGTCTCAGAAGTGCCTCTGCCTCGCTGCCTTCCCTTCCTCCCTCTTCCTCGGGCGTCAAAGGCTGTCCAGCCCGCACAGATTTTCTCTTGATTCCCTGAGGGCCTCGCAGCCAGAGGCTGTCTGAGCGAAGTCGCAGCCGCCCCCGTACCCCGCCCACCGCCTATCCCTGGGGTGAGCTGCGGGTACCCTTTTTACTGAGGCCTCCCCCAGTTCCACCCGAGCGCAGACAGGCAGGAGAAGGCACGGGTGCGTTCACACGGGTCGCCCTTTGCGGTTGCAAACCTGCTTTGATGCCCTGGGAGCGCAGGGCGCCCCTAAGTGAGGCGGTTTATAAATAATAGATTTGGAAATACTCGATCGAGGGGAAATGGTTCCTCGGGAGGCCTCCTGCCCCCGCCCCCCGCCGGGCTGCCTTCCAGCTCTCAGGAATGGCGTTCTGGTCCATTCCCAAGGAACTCGTGACAGCGCGGGGTGGCCGGTGGGGAGTGGGGGGAACCGGAGGCTTCCGCGCGGGGACACACCCCCATCGCCGGTGCAAGTTGCAGCGCGGCCGGAGCCGGCCCAAGTTTCCCAAAGCCTGTGTCTCCGCGGCAAAGTCTGCAAGAAGTTGGGGGGACGCCAGGGACCGCGTGGGTCCCCCACCGCCCTCCGGGCTGCCTTGCTGGGCGTGGACGCCTCCCGGCCGGGGCCGCGGTGCTCTGGAGAGGCGGGCGTCCCGGGGAAGGGGCGGCGGGCGCGGGGCGGGCGCGGGGCACTCACCGCTTCCTTCCTGGTGGGCTTACTGCGGAGCCGCGCCCGGGGCGCGCAGGGCACGCCCGGGCGCTGGTGGCGGTGGCGGCTGCGGCCGGGCTCGGGGGGCCGCGGCGACGAGTCTGCAAGAGAGAACAGCGGGGGTCATGGCCCGGCCGGCGCACCGGCCGCCGCGCGCCTCCCGCGGTCCCGCCCCACTCCTGGAGGGCGGCGCTGACTGCAGCTGCCGGGCCGCGGGCGCCGGGATTGCACCGGCTGGGCGCGGGGCGGAGCGGGCCCGCCCGCCGCCTCCCTGGAGCTTGCTAGGACCCGCCCGGAGCCCTCGGCGGCGGTCCGGTTCCTCGCTGCTCGCCTGGTTCCTCCCGCCAGGCCCTGGGCCGTCCCGGGGAAAGTTTGGGCCGCGGCCCGTAGGGCTGCCCACCGTGCGCCCCTCTCCGGGGCTGGGTGCCGGACTCCCTGCGACCCTGCCCAGCCCTGGGTGGTGAAACGTAGCACCAGGTTTCCTCCTATACTGGGGGGCTCGGCTTCAGTGGACCCCGCCGCCCAGATGCGAACAGGGAGCACCCCCACCTGGCCATCTGCAGCCGCCCTCTCCTGGTGCAGGACCCCAGGGACTGGTAGGCAGTGCCCCCTCCCTGTCGCTCCAGCTGTGGGGGTTCCCTTTTGCTCCACGCAAGCTTTTGCACCCCACTTCCGGGTAAACCTGGGGGTCCAGTCTACAAGGAGGTTAGGGCTTGCTTCCAAGCCCCCTGGGTGGCTGCAGGTGTTTGGTGCTGACCTTGAGCACCCGCGAGAGGAACCCGCAGCTCCCCGCAATGTGGACACAGAAGTCTTTTGTTCAGATGGGCTTCTTAGGAGGCACACTCCCTCCGTCAGCCCCACCTGTGTGGAGGCTGCTGCGGACCTCTGTCCAGTGGGGCAGGAGGAACACAAAGATGCCTGCCCTGTGCTTTCCATGTCATTGTCATAAGCCTGTGGTACCCTCCCCACCCTACAAGCCCAAGGTCTCCACACCCTGGGCCCTGTATATTTCTGGAGTCTTAGGAGGGGAAACTGAGCCACAGAGCAGGAAAGTGACATTGCCTTAGTGAATGTGGCAAAGAGTTGCAGGAAGTGGAGTCATCGTCCTAGCCGTGTACTGTTGCTTGAGTCATTCCCCAAAATGGGGTGATCTTTAGGTTACCCTGACTGACAGGCAGGAGATGGATCATGGGCCCCACTCCCATCCTTCTAACAAAGACAAGGGTAGGCCTGGGGCAGCACCTTCCTTCTACTGTCTCCACCCTCCAGAGGCAGGATGGGACCTGCCGCTGGCCCGTGCTGGGCTGGCGGGCGTGCCCATCAAAGCTGCTGCCCCAGCTGCAGGGCTGGAGGAGGCCTATGCAGGTGGCTCCCTGCTGAGGGCACATCCCTGAGGGAGGGGTAGGAAAGCCAGGAAGAGCTCAGAGGCTTCAGGGCATGAGGGGGAGGGGGCTCAGCAAGCTGGCTGTGGGCAAATCATCATGCCTGGCTGTGTGCTGGCTCTTTGGGTGTGGGGAGGCAGTGATCTAGGCTCCTGAGGAACTGAGATGGACAAACCTAGGCGACTAAGAGCTAAGGCTCTGAGACCCGACAGCGAAGCACTCCCTCCTCCATCAGTCACCTCACAACCCAGCCGTGTCTGCCCTGGAGCCAGGTTCCCTTTCAGGATTGGGCAAAGATTTGCTTCCTATCTGTCTCCCTGCACTGCCGGTTCCTGCCCTTCCCAGGGGCTCCCTGTGCTGTAGCCCTTCAAGGGGGTCAGTGGGTCTCTGGGGAAGTGCAGCCCCTCCTGGAGGTCCCAAGGGGCCGTTTCCTGGGCTGCTGAGGGTCCCATGTCCTGCTCCTCCCCAGGGAGCTTTGGGGCAGAGCTGCTATGAACTATCTCCTCTAACAGTGGCTGCGGAAGTCCCTAGGGATGACAAGCAGGCAGGCACCCTCACCCTGCCTTCTTGTTCTGGAATGGTGCAGGCCGGTGACACTGATAGAGATGGGCTTGTCTCTGGGCCTCAGTTTCCGCAAAGGAGAACCTGGGATTTACTTATTTATCAGGTTCTGTATTTAACCTGGTGCCAACTGTGCCAGCGGCCCTCACTGTGCAGGTGGCCTGTTCGTGGCAACCCTCTCAGGTGTGGGGCCGTAGGCTTAGGGAGGTCACAGGTTGCGGGTCTCCCAGCCAGCGAGGAGTGGAGACTGCCGGGTCTCCACTCCTGCGCTCTCCTGCCCTCCTGCCCCCAGTGGAGACAGGAGCCGCTCATCCCTGGGGAGTTTGGCTCCAGCCTCAGCTCCAGGGGAGGGGACGCTGCACTAATGAGCGGAGGCCAAGGAGGATGTGTCTTGTCAACTGTACAGACTGAGATGAGGAACGGAAAGAATCCGGTTTAATCTGCCTCTTCCCCCAGGAGGCTGCTGCCGAGAGAGAACAGTGGGTCAATTTCCCGGTGTCTGCACCGTGGGCATCTGTGCCGGTCACCCGTTGTGCTGGGGGCTGTCCTGCGCACTGTGGGTGCTGAGAACCATCACTGGTCTCTGCCTCCGAGGTGCCAGGAGCACTGTCCCTCAAAGTCATCACAACCAAAAAATGTTTCCCAACACTGCCACCCGTCCCATGGGAGCACCATACCCTCTTTCCCAATAGTTCCCTGCCCTGACTGAATGCCAGGAGCACCCGGCGAGCTGACAAATAAATAAATAAAGTGAATAGAGCAAACATCCAGGCCCTGGCATCACCCAGGGGCTCTGACTTAATTGGCCCAGGTGGAAGCCCAGGTATGGGTGTTAGGTAAAAACCCCAGGTGAGGCCAGATGTGGTAGCCGATGCCCGTAATCTCAGCACTTTGTGAGGCTGAGGCGGAGGACTGCTCAAGTCCAAGAGTTTGAGACCAGCCTGGGCAACATGGTGAGACACCTCACCCTCACAACCCCTGCCGTCTCCACAAAAAGTGCAAAAAGTTTGCCAGGTACAGTGGCGCACGCCTGTAGTTCCAGCTACTCGGGAGCTTAGGTGGGAGGACTGTTTGAGCCTGGGAGGTTGAGGCTGACCTGGGTGATGTTAATAGTCATCTCTGACAGAGAAGTTTGAATCTAGGATCAGAGGGCCCACCTGCATGTTACTTTCCTGGCAGCCAGGAGAGGTGCCTGCCTGAGGAACTTGGTCTTGATCTTGGGGTGGGGCTGGTGGCTGGGGACCCAGGGGCTCTGGGAGAAGAGTGCCGCTCAGCAGCCTCACCTTGCACCACCACCTGGGAAGAGCCGCAGGGAGCGCTGAACCTGCAGACCTGGAGGCAAGGCCGGGGCTGCAGCCCCACACCTGCTGTGATCGGAATCCGCTGGGGTGCGGGGAAGGGCAGATGCTGGAGACTGGGATTCTTTTTTTTTTTTTTTTTGAGACGGAGTTTCGCTCTTGTTACCCAGGCTGGAGTGCAATGGCGCGATCTCAGCTCACCGCAACCTCCGCCTCCTGGGTTCAGGCAATTCTCCTGCCTCAGCCTCCTGAGTAGCTGGGATTACAGGCACACGCCACCATGCCCAGCTAATTTTTTGCATGTTTAGTAGAGACGGGGTTTCACCATGTTGACCAGGATGGTCTCGATCTCTTGACCTCGTGATCCACCCGCCTCTGCCTCCCAAAGTGCTGGGATTACAGGCTTGAGCCACTGGGATTCTTTAGGTGTGGGAGCGGGGCTGGAAGCTGGCCCCTGGCACCAAAGCCCTCTGAGTCCCGTCCTTCCCTCGCAGACCCGGGAGACTCTGGGTCTGCAGAGGAAGTAGAAGAAGAATTAGGGCAATTTCTTCCCTTCTCTCCCCTTGGGGATTAAAGGTTGGAAGAGCAGCTTCCTGTGCACACAGTCCCATAAGAGCTCTACACATTTACTGGTGCCTATCAGGCAGCGCTCCACGCCCTGAGAAAACAGCGGCTGAGCAAGACAGACCAAACCCTGCCTCATGGGCACCAGCGCCTGATTGCTACGGAGAAAACGTTTACAGCGAAGGTTATAAAGGGTGAGGGTGGAGAATCAAAACTGTAGACAGAGTGGGCAAGAAAAAGCCTCTATGAGCCAGTGACTGGAGGAAGCCAGGCAGGTGCAAGGAGAAAAACTCCCAGGCAAGTTCCGGGTTCAGGACACAGCGAGAGGAGCACCACGCAGCCACGCCCACTCGCCAGGGACCCGAGCCGGGGACGGGGCGGCGCGGGGGGGGGGGTGCTCTGCATCAACTCCCAGGGGTCCTGCAGGGTGGGGAGTGGGGCTAGGAGGGAGACCCTCTTTCCATTCACAATTCCCCACAATTCCCCACAATTCACAACGTGCGGGTGCACCTGTGACATTGTTTTCCTTTCTTTCTTTCCTTTTCTCCTTCCTTCCTTCCTTTTCTTTCTTTCTGTCTCTCTCTCTTTCCTTTCTTTCCCTTCCCTCCCTCTCTCCCTCCCTCCCTTTCTTTTTCTTTCTTTCTTTCTTTCTTTCTTTCTTTTTCTTTCTTTCTTTTTCTTTATTTCAACAGAGTCTTGCTCTTTCACTCAGGCTGGAGTGCAATGGTGCGATCTCAGCTCTTTGCAACCTCCACCTCCCGGGTTCAAGTTATTCTCCTGCCTCAGCCTCCTGAGTAGCTGGGACTACAGGCGCCCACCACCATGCCTAATTTTTTGTATTTTTAGTAGACATGGGGTTTCACCATGTTAGCCAAGACAGTCTCAATCTCCTGACCCCGTGTCCCACCAGCTTCGGCCTCCCAAAGTGCTGGGATTACAGGCATGAGCCACCTTGCCTGGCCTCAACAATGGTTTCTTAAGCAGGGTGGAGGGTTAAAAGTGGCTGGGGCCGGGTGCAGTGGCTCATGCCTGAAATCCCAGCACTTTGGAAGGCTGAGGTGGGCAGATCACCTGAGGTTAGGAGTTCGAAACCAGCCTGGCCAACATGGTGAAACGCCATCTGTACAAAAAATACAAAAATTAGCTGGGTTTGGTGGTGGGTGCCTGTAATCCCAGCTACTTGGGAGGCTGAGGCAGGAGAATCGCTTAAACCTGGGAGGTGGAGGTTGCAGTGAGCTGAGACTGTGCCACTTGCACTCCAGCCTGGCGACAGAGCGGGACTATATCTCAAAAAAAAAAAAAAAAAAAAAAAGAAGTAGCTGCAGATCTTTCTCCCTCCCCACTCCTTAGAACTCAGCTGGCCCTGAGCTGGGCAACCAGC